TGCATCCCCCGGGCTGGCTCCAACCCTTCCCCTCGGAAAAATCCTGAGCCCGAGGAGCTGCCACCCCTTTGCTGCGACCCACCGGGCTGCCAAGAGCACGCCTGCGCCCCTCCGTCAGTACAGAATATATTTTATTCACGGATTTTTACAAATAACTTTACAATTCACGTGACATAAGTTACGTTTCTTGGTTTCGACGCGTATTCTCTCTGAGCAACACCTGAGTTAGCGGAATACTGAGATGGGACTCGAACCGTATGCGGGAAGGGAAAAAAAAAAAACCAAACGGATGAAAATCCAGAACGAGCTCCATTTGGGGATCGCCCTCCCTTCCCCACCCCGGGGTACCAGCCTGCCCGAGCCAGGGCCAGGAGCGCCAACATCTCGGCGTTGTGGATTTCTCACGGGGGTTAAACTCAAAACGAGAAGACGACGGACTCGTGACCCGCCACGTTTCCAGCTCTCGGGGATCTCCCAGGCACCTCGCTGACCCCAGGGGACAGACAACAAGATATTTATCCCACCAAGATATTTCTCCCGCCTCCTCTCCTCCTGCTGCAGAGGCTTTTCCAGGCGTGCCGACGCGCTCCCTGCCAGCCCCGGCAGGACTCCGGCTGCCCCGTGCCCCGGGGAACGCCGCCAGCCCGCGGCGTTTTCCAAATACTTCTCTTCAGAGGGAAAGGAGAGGGCACACGCGCCATGCGGAGGACTCAGTTTTTCCACATCGAGTCGGGTCAGACGGGGCTGCAGCTCTCCTCAGGCAGGGCAAAAAATAAAAAACCTCTCTTCCCTTCAACCCAGAGATCTCTCAAGAAGGCTCCCTGCTCCTCGACACGCCGATATTTAAAACCTTCTGGGCGCGGGATGAAGCCAACAGCCTCCGGGGCGCCGAGGGGACAAAATCAACGCGCGAGGGAACCTCGGGCAACATTATCAATATGATAATAAGTCAATTCACCTAGTGAATCTGGGGAAAGCCAGCCCAGAAGCAGCAACACCTTTCTCTGGCTACTCACTCCCTGAGGCTGGAAACACACAACCTGAAGAGGTTCACAGTCTAGTTTGTCGTTTGGTTTTGTTTTTTTTTTTAAAAACACACCCACCCCACCCTGAATCTCAGCAGCATCAGCGTTTAGAAACTGGTGTCTGCTCCCAGGTGTTGGCGTGAGCTCGGTCGCAGCCCCAAGGACTGATCCCGTGGCCAGGCAGGACTCACCGTCCCGGCTCTGCCCTTGTGCCCTTCTCACAAGCATCTGCCCTCACAGAAGGAGAAGGAGGGTTTTTCCCCCAAAACAGCAGCAGGGATCTAAGGGAGGTAAGGGCATCCCACCAGCTTTTCTCGCAGCCGCTGCCCCGTGTCAGTCCGACCCGCACGAGGCGCGGTTTGGTGTCCGCCACTCCGAGTGCTGATGCCCAGAATGTGCTTTAAAAAATAAAATGAAAAAAAAAAAAAAAAATAAAAATAATCCAACCTCTTCACCCTGCTCTTCTCCCAGGGCGTCGTCCGGGTTGCTGAGGCAGAACGGGAGCAAAACCGTAGAGTCAACGCTTCTTGAAGACGGCGAGGACGACGCTCAAATGGTGAAGCTCTGCTCCTCGAGCCTCCTCTTCCTCCGCGCTTGGACTCGCTAGGAAGGGTCTGTCCCCATCACAAACCCCTTCATCAAGGGGCCAGGAGAGCGTCACGTGCCCTTCCAAGTGCAAAGAGGGGAGCACCCCGGCTAAAGGAGCTCATCTCCCAGCTCTGTCCTTCCCGGGAAACGCGAGGAAAGAAGGGATATGACGCTGGAAAGAGATCCTCCGGTCAGTTCGGCCCTACGGCCAGGGGCATGGAAGCTCCCCACGGCCTTTAAACCAAAATAAAACGAAGTCTCGTGGAATAGTTTTAAAAGTGATGCCTCTGCTCCTGTAGTGTGGTGTCAGTGCCCGCACAGGCACCGTGGTATGCTTGCAGCAGGGAAAGAAAGAAAAAAAAAAAAGAAAAAAAAAGAAATACCCCTTCCCCCCCAAAAAAAAAACCACCAAAACCAGAGAAACTGGAAGAGGGCTGGTGAGTCGGGCTGGTCCTACCCGATCTGGATCTGGCCCGAGTACATGGTGAGCAGCACCATGATGGCGAAGCCCGTGAGCAGCCCCGCGTTCTGGATGGCGAAGGTGATGAGCGTGCTGCCGCGCTGCTCGTCCTCCTGGCTCACCTCGTTCATCTCGGGGAACTGCGGGCGAGAGGAAAGAGCGCTCAACGTCAGCCTCCAGCCTTCCCACCCCGGCACACATCCACCCCCCCGGGGGCTCGGCGTTACCATGTCGGCCAGCGCGATGTAGAGGAACATCCCTCCGGCCAGGGC